CCTTGGTGAGGGGAGAATCCAACAGAGGTGGAAGAGACCAGTCCCACCAAGTTGCCTTGAATCCATGTGCACATCCAGCCCTTTGGAAGCAGCACTGTGACCCCACCCAAATCCCAGGTTTAATTAGTCAAAACTCTCAGATCCTTCTGGTTCTCCAGGGAAAGCAGCTCCCATCCTGCAGCTCTGGATGTGGATTCTGGGACTCAGAGAGCAAAGCAAGGTGCCCCCTCCACCTCTTGTGTTCTGGTTCTTCATTTGTTGAAGGTCTCAGCAGCTCTGCAGGTCCCAAAAGTGACAACAGGCAAGAAATGTGTGAACTCCTTCCACAGCTCCCGGGAAATGTCCATGAAATCAGCGATGGGCAGGACACTCATCACTTTCAAACATCTCTTTCTTTTCCCGGGTTAGTTCTTCCTAAAGACTTGACCAAAAGATCCTTGTAGAATTTTGAACATTCCAGAACAGCTGTAAAACTTGCTGGCAGACACGTGAGGAAACCAAGACATGTCCATCTCTGGAGTGAGGAAGGAATTGTGGCTCATTTTCGGTGGTTGTTGGGGTTTTTGGGGCATCCCCACTTTCTGCCTCTCAATCACCCCCCTTCCCTCCCAGTGAGAAGGGCTGGGTGCTGCTCAATCAGCAAATATTGATGAATTCTGCCAGGCTGGGTCGGTTCTTCTCTGCACAGACAAGTTTTGCTGCTCCCACAGGTTTGAATCTCTGCAGGTTTGGGAATTCTGGTCCATTCCCTGAGGAAACACCTCCAAAACACCTCCCTGGAGGCACGTGGGCAACAAACTGCAGCCCTTGAGGGGAAAAAAACCACCCTAAAGAGCAAAGCAATGATGTGAAATGATCATAAATACTGTGATATAAAGTTAAGCCAGGCCTGGTCAGTCTACAACTTAATTAGATTAGAACACAAATACTGAGAGTGACTACACAGAGCTTCAGGTGACAACAGAAACTGCTGATCTGGAGAGGAGGAAAATCAGAAATCACCTGGAAAAACAGACATATCCCATCACTTGGATGAAAAATAGAGAGGAGCCTACTGTATTTTATCAGTTCAATTACCACTCATACATCAAACCATTCCTTCTCCTACACAAAGCTCCATATCCCCCTTGACATATCCAACCCTGAAGCACAATTTTTGCCAGGTGGAATAAAAACACATTAGCAGGAAGCTGTAAAACACATTCCAAGTGTCAGGACAGAGGAATAACTGTTGGATGTACGCTCAGATATTGAGAATTTGAAGATGACTTGCAGTGCTTCTGGCACTGGAAATATCTGGGGGAGCTTCTGGATATAAAACATAATTTGGATGATTTTTTTCTTCTTTTCCTACCCACTTTTTGGACACAGGAATTTATCCCCTCAGAAACACACACTTCTTTATTCTATACCATGTGTTTAAACTATTCATGAATTCCTGTTTAAAGTGAAAAGGTTCAATGCTGTGAAAGAGCCACCTGGATGCTGGGACATTCCTGAAATTTACATTTCAATGTTCTCTGCTGCACTGAACTTTTGGAGTATTTCTTTCAAAAGCTGCAAGGACACACTGAAATGTTTCTGTATTTTATTAACTATGCTCAAGACTCATTATCTTATTTTATAATCCTTCCTTCAGTCTTCCTCCTATGAGCTGAAACACAAGGAAAAACAGCACAGAGTTACCCAGAGCTGCATGTCAGGCTTAGGAAAGAGAAACTGCAATGAATTATTTCATGTCTCCCACACAGTGGGGACTGAATTCCAACTCGGTTCAGCATTTAAGGAAGAAAACAAACAAACAAACCAAACAAAAAGCCATTAAATCATCCTAGTGAAATCCTCACTGGACAGACAGGAAAGTTGCTGCCCTACAAACCCCAAACCCTTCAGCTGCCCAGGACTGAGCCCGAGCTGCTCAGCAGTGGGGTCACTGCACAGGGAGGGGGCAACACTGAGCTGGGTTTAACCAGGCAGGAAAGGCAGGGCTGAGCTGCCACATAAACCAGCTCCATGAGAACAGAGGTGCCCAGGAGCAAAGCCCAGACCACAGATGAATCACAAACTCTGGAGCTCCTTCCACGACCTCGAGCTTGCAAAGGGTTCTGTTCCAGCACAGCCTCCCACTGCTGGGGGACAGAGCAGAGCTGCACAGCTGCTGGTGAGAAAGAGCAGAGGTTTCTGTGTCATCAGGGGGATTTACTGGGCTTTTGGCACTGGGGAAAGGGCGGGTTCATGGTCTAGGCACTGAATTCATAACACTTTTACCCCCATCTGGGAGCACTTACTGTAAATCACCTCTGGATCATCATCCCAGCAGGATTTTTAAACTCCGCTTTAACCCAAGTTCAAATCCTGACTCCACTGGTGTCTTTCTCACCTGCTTGCCTCTCTGGGATTGCCCAAATTTCTGATTCCAGTACCAGCCAAGTCCTGCAGTGAGACCTCCCCTGGAACCACTCTGTGCCCGAGGCTCCGGACACCGAACACCAGCGAGAGCACCGAGGGAGGAGGGTTCCTCCCGTCCAAGAGCTTCACTGCAAACTGTTCTCAGCCCAGTCTGACACTGCTAAAGTAGCTCTGTGTGCTCCCCAACTCGTAGTTTACTACCAGAGTAACTGCCAGAGCAGCTGCACACTCCTCTCCCAGCAATCCTGGAAGGCACCGAAGTGTCGCTGCGCAGAGACAAGGCCTCGGTCAGGACCTGGGCTGTGCAAAAGATTTCCCCCTCTGAAGTGTCCACCACTGTATCCAGGGCACGACAGAAGGTGTGGAAATCTGGCAAGCAGGTGAGCAAACCTACCTGGATATTTTTTTCACAGTCAGTTTGCTGGTGAAGGGACAGCTCACTTTCTAGCACAAATTTCTTCCCACATTTGTCGCAGATCTGCATTCGCCTGTGAGTGACGTTCATGTGCTTCTCCAGGTACCAGCGTGTGTTAAACACCCTGGGGCACTTCTCACAGGTTAAAGTCTCCTTCTCTTCACACTTTGATTTCTGCACAGGTGCCTTGGGCTCCTTTGCAGTTTTCTTCTTACGCTTGGGGGGCTCCACACTCTTTCTACGACCCCTTGTAGTTCTGGGTGGTGGGGAGGTGGTGGCTGCTGCAGCAGAGGCAGCTCTCCTCGTTCTCCTTTGTGCAACACTAACTTTTTCCACTCTTTTCTCTTTTTTCTTCTGCCTCTCATTTTCCTCATAATCATTACTGTCTTCAGTGGCCTCTTCCCCACTGTCACCCTCCTCTTCCTCACTGCTGGTCTTAAGAACAGCAGTCTCTTTGGACTGGGAGGGGACACCCTTCTCCCCTTTTGATACATTTAAGGTTTGGTTGTTAAGGTTTACCTCTACTATAATCTGCTCCCTTTTGTAAGTCACTTCATCTTCCTCCTCCTCTTCCTCCTCAGAGTCGTCAGAGTTTTCTCTGTCTTCTTTCACAGCCCGGACCTCTCCTACCGCTCTGTTCTCCCTGAAATAAGGCTGCTCCTCTCTCTCGTGGAGGTGGGGTTTGCTCATTTTGCTGTCCACCAGCACAGAGTAGGGGCTCCCTGACTCCCTCTTGTACACCTTGGTGGACAGGTCGAGCTCCTGGCTGGCCCCGTGGTAGAAGGTGGGTGGCACTTGCCCGCGGCGACCGTCCTCCTGTGCCATCCCCGCCACGGGCGCCGGGCAGTTCTCAACCAGCTGCTGGCAGGAATTGGCCGTTTGACTCATTTGGGGGGCCCTGGTTCATGGAGCACCTTCAATCCCAGAGAAACCACGGCAGCAGCAGCAGCTCGAGGTGGGGGTGGGTCCTCCAGCCCGGCGCCGGGTCCATCGACACGGGGCGGACAAACGGGGGCTGAGGGGAGGGCACGGAATTCCAGGGTTATGGCAAGAGCAGAGCTGGGATTATTCTTCTGGAGAAAGGTGCCAACGAACCCTCAAACATTTTATCTAGAAGAGACAACAGAGAAAACAAAGTCAATTAAAAAAAAAAAAAAACCCACAACCCTAAATCAGTAAAATCGCAGCAAATTGTTCTGGGTTTGTCCAGCTGGAGGGAAGCACAGGGTTGGTCATCTCTGGGCTGCTGGGGGTGTCTCAAGGAAACCACAGGGAGTTACAAACACCCTCTGTGGGGTAGGAGATTCCTCAGGTATGGAAATCAAGGCAACGAATATTCCCCATCCACCAAAGATCAGCTCCAGGGACTCTGAGCTGTGTCTCTCCTGGACTTTGGGGAGCACTGATGGCCCCAAAACGCTGCTCTGCCCCCACACCCCTGACCCAAAAATACCTCTGCTTCTCCTGTACCTCCCAGAGGGAGCCCATCCTCATCCCACCCATCATCCTCTGTTTCACACAGACCCACACTAATGGAGACTGGCATGAAGAATTCCAAGGGAGGCATTTCCGACCTGCAGCCCCAAAGCAGCCTGAGAACACCCCAGTCCCTGCTTGCTCCCACCTCACACATCCCTCCCACAGCCCCTCGATTTAAGGCAACTACTCCTTTGTCTCATTCTCCCTTCCCCCCAGCCATTTAATCCTCAAAGCAGAAGCCAAACAATATCACATTTGCCCATCCACGTTTCCCTCGCAGTCATTCCAAGTTGGAATTTGACCAGGACACTGTTACTTCCTCTTGCAAAAAAAAAATAAAAAAAATAAAAAGCCACGTGATCCCTCCTGAATACAAGTAATCAATCCCTCCCATCTCCCTTTCAGCAGGACAATCAGCATTTGGGTAGCACAGCAAGCCAGGATTTTTGGCTGTGCAGATGGAATGGGAAACACTCTGGAAGCCCCGAGCAAAGGGGATTCCTGGAGCTACATCTGGGACCAGAGGGGGCAGGAAAGACTGAGACATCCCAGGATGAGAGGACAGAGAAGGACCCGACAGAAATGGATGGACTGAGCAGTTAAATGTGAAGAAAGCAGGTTCTCCACTCTTGGAATGTGAGAATTCCCTGGAGGGAACTGCTTCCACCTGCAGTTTCTCCCCCTCTGAAGTGAGTTTAATTGAACAGGAGAGGAACCCACCAATGCCTGAATCCTAAAGACTGAAGTGCCCTCTCGTGTTTGGGAAGTGCCACCCTGGGGCCAGGCCACTGATGAGTCTGATCATCAGTTTAATTAAAACAGATCCCTGAATGCTTCTCCAGGATTTCCAAATGGCTCCAAGAGGGCCCTGAAAGTGCCTGGCAGGGCCCTGCAGACTCAGCACCACCACAGCAGGGTCCATTCCTGCTGCTCTGCCTTCCCAGCTCCAGAGGAAATCGGGAAGGAGAGCACCTGGCTGGGCCAGGAAATCCCTGGAGATGGGCTGTGAGCACTGGCTTGGGGTCACAACCACGTCCAGATGGAAAAGCCAATACATTACAGCACAGACTGGTTGGGATGGCAACCAAAATTAACATCCCTGCACCCATGAAGGCCCTTGGAAAGCCCTGGGAAGGATGGAGCCCAGTTTGGCTTTTCCTTTCCCTCAGTTCAGTGAATTATTCAGAAGCTCAGAAGAATCCCTGTGTCAGGTATAAAACCATCCCTGACTATTTCCAAGGAGACATCAAGCACCTCCAGCAGGAGGGAACCAGGAAGGCTACTGGAATGTTGCTGCTGGAGAGCCAGGAAAGCACAAAACTCAGGAAAAGGAAGGTTTACCTTCCCCCTCCCCATTTTACTGAACATCCAAACATTGCTGCCATCCCTGAGGGAACGTTCTGCCCAACAAACCCCTTCCCAAACCCCTTCCCATCCCCACGGAGCCACTTCAAACAAACACAACAAAAGGGGGGTTATTCTGAGTTCTCAAGAGTTGGTGTTAAAACCACCTCACTCTGCAGCCTCAGGAACCTGCTCTCACTCCGAGCCCACCACCTATTCCTCAAACTGGGACAGAAATGGGGGCTTTGATGTGCTCTGCAGGGTTCAGGGGTTCAGCTGGAGGTGGCTGGACCAGTTTGGAGAATCCTGGAATACCCTGAGCTGGAAGGGACCCACCAGGATCAGCGAGTCCAGCTCCTGGTGCTGCCCAGGACACCCCAAAAATCCCCCCGAGTCATTTCAGGCATCACTTTTCATTTTCACTCTGCAACCTCTGGTTATTCCTCGCTCCTTTCCTTCAGAGAATTCACATTTTCTGAGCTTTTCAGAGCAGAGTCCCAGCGAGGAAACATTAATGCTTTGTTATTTTTGCAGCAGAACTTTGTGTTGGGGATTAGCCCCAAAGCCAGGTTGTACCTGTGGAATGAAAATCACATTTTCACCCCCCCTCAGACCTTCATCAACAACAAACTGCTGATTTCAGAGCCCAAAACACACTCAGAGGACGTTTGCATTTCCCCCTTTAAGTTTTCTACCGAAGCAGCACCGGGGTGGTTTGAGCTCTGTCCCTCTTGAAAGGTGAGTTCACTTTTATCAAAAGAACCCCAGCTTTTCACAGAATGAGTTGCAGATCCGGGCTCTGATTAAGAAGTAAAGAGGAAACGGGGGTTTCAAAGCAGTTTTTGAAGATCCTTATCAGGACACAGAGCAAAGCCACGAGGTGCCTGCACAGGGTAACCCAAGATCAGGCAAGGTTTGCAACTCTGCAAACATTCAAAGGCTCAAACCCAGAAAAGGAAAGGGCAACTGGCAGCCCGAGGAGTGGGTGGAGGAAGCGACCCCTCACTCCCTCACTGCTTTGGAAGCAAACCCCCATTCCTGCCCTTTCTCCACTAAAACAGAGATATTTGGGATCCCGGGGGCTCAGGGGGTGCTGTCACTGCCCCGGGTTTGCCCCAGAGGGACCAGCCTGGCACCTCTTGCTGGTGCAGGGAATGGGATCTGGCTCCTGGCAGGGATCCAGCAGCAGCAAACACTGATGGCAGGGACAACAGGGCTGCTGCCAGCTCTGTGCCAAGGGAAGGCAGCACAGCCTGCACCCCAAACTTCCTGGGATCCCAAACAGCCCGGAGCACATCCAGGATTTCCACCTTCCCTTTACCACACAGGACCTGTCATTTCCCACAGTCAACCCCCAAAACTTCATTTTCTCAGCAAAATCTCAGCTTAGCAGCAGCTTTTCAATGGATGCAATCCAGAGGCACTGCAAGGAAGGAGCAGGTTTATTTAGGGATAAATCAATATGGATCTCAGGCTCATTAGGGATGGTGACCCCTCAGGGCGAGGAGAAAGTCTGAGCACCCTGAAAACTGATTTTATTTTTTTTTAATAGAAAACAAGACTTTTCTCAGAACACAGCTCAGTAAAAAACAAACAAACAAACAATTCTAACCGTGTTACAATTAAAGGCAAAGCCATTTTGCATCCTCATTAACGACCTGAGGCTTTGAAGGGGGTTGGAAGCACGGATCCAGCGGCTCCAGTAAGTCCTGGGGCAACCAGATTTGCAGCCAGTGGTGAAACAACCACAGAGCACAAAGAAATAATCTGCATTAGTTAAGATAATGCACCGATTTCAAACCAGCTGAGTGGCTGCTGAAGGAGTCAGGTGCTGGTTGGAGGTTGGGGGATTCATTAAAGCTGCTCCTATATTCCACCAGACAAACAGAATTCCAATATTCCACCAAACAGGTGGAATTGGGACAGGCTTTAACCTGGTTCCCACTCAAATTTCTCACCCAAACTGGAGCTTCTCTGCTTCCTCTTAACTCATTTCTAGTACAGGTAAAACCCATGTGAACTCAACCCTTAATAAACACCCAGTGAGATTTCAAGTTAAACACTTTCATGCTGAATAAATCACATTATTTGGCCCCAGGAGAATCAGAACCATGATACAACTGGCATGTGTTTATTTTCGAAGGGTGGCAAGAAAACACAAGATTCAGGTAAATATAAATAAATTTATATATAAATATATATTTATAAATACATATATATATATAAACAAGAATGTGATTTTTCACTTTGCTTCTGTTAATATTCAGTGTCACCCATCAATCAGTTTCAATCTCAGCAGCAGCAGGACAGAAACACAGGAAAATGCCCAAGAAAAATGTGATTTTCACTCCACAGGTACAACCTGGCTTTGGGGCCAATCCCCAACACAAAGTTCTGCTGCAAAAATAACAAAGCATTAATGTTTCCTCGCTGGGACTCTGCTCTGAAATGCTCAGAAAATGTGAATTCTCTGAAGGAAAGGAGCGAGGAATAACCAGAGGTTGCAGAGTGAAAATGAAAAGTGATGCCTGAAATGACCCAGGGGGATTTTTGGGGTGTCCTGGGCAGCACCAGGAGCTGGACTCGCTGATCCTGGTGGGTCCCTTCCAGCTCAGGGTATTCCAGGATTCTCCAAACTGGTCCAGCCGCCTCCAGCTGAACCCCTGAACCCTGCAGAGCACATCAAAGCCCCCATTTCTGTCCCAGTTTGAGGAACAGGTGCCTGAAACAGGCCCAGCAATTCCCAGGCAGTGGGAAAACACAGCTGGTCCAAGCTCCAGGAGTCAGGGAGAGGAACCAGGGCTGGAACACGGGAGGGAATTATTTATATCACGGCACAATCGCTCCTTTCTTGTGCATCTCAGCTGCTTTATGTGCAAAAAACCCTGAAAATCTGTTCTGAAGGGTTCAGGTTTCTCTGCACAGGAGGCAGCACATCCCTGCTGCTCCTGCATTCCTATGGAAGTGCTCAAGCTGCCCGTGCCCATGGAAATGCAAACTGGAGACCCTGAGTGCTGCTAACGACCTGTTCCCAAACATCCACCCATTCCCAAACTCCTTCCCTC